TACGCCAGAGCAGTTATGAATGTACGAGATTCATGGAAAATTGGAGTATATAAGCAGTAAATTCGACCTTGTCTACCGAACGCTTCTTTGTAGCCTAAGCGGTAAGGCACGTCAGCGTATATGACGGTTCCGTATGGGATGCAGGTTCGAATCCTATCAAAGAACGAAAATTTTCTATGAAAATTTCTCGGACATTCAGGCCGGTAAATGTTATTTAATACTGTTTATCATAAACAGAGCATTTGCTTAAATACTTGTATCTATAAAATAACAACGTTAAACATAAAATATGTCTTTAATAAATAAATTGTCGGACCTTGTCCATTTCTTAATATATATATATATATAATACTGTTACTTTAATCAAAATAAATTTGCGAAACGTTTATATTTAATTAGAAAATGTAGTTTATCAACAAACAAGTGAGAACTTTATGGTTTAATTGTTCGCCTTGGTGTCTAGATTTCATGAATTTTATGTAGCCGTGAATTTTATGTTAACAGTTCCTTTTCTCTTGTGGAACTCCCTTCCGGCTCCATGCTTTCCAGCCAACTTTAATCTACAAAAATTTAAATGCAATGTCAATCGCAATATACTGTCCTCCTGATTATTATTTTCTCTTCTCGCTCATTATTAATGTTCATAATTCTTCCACGCCCAGTAACTCCTTGTGTCTTAGTGGCTTTACTACCTTGCACGGGGCGAAACCGATTAAAAAACTGAAGCGTTGCAGATTTTAGGATAATGATGTGAATAGAAGCTGATGGTTATCAATGGTGATGGTAATATTAACCGTTTCCTTATAAGGAAAAATTAAGTATTTGTTGATAGAACAGCCAGCGATACTTTCGTTTGACGTTCATAAAATGATTCTATTAAAACAATTTATCAGGAAAATACGATTCCCAATCCCCGTAACTGTTATCGCTCTTTCTTTTATTGATGGGGGTTTCCTTCCTAACCTTTTGTTGGAAGTAGTGTGGTATATCGACACCTTGATCATGGCATTATTTTCTCTTCCAGTCATATGTGTATCCATTAAATTTTTTCTGCTATTGAAAACCCTCAAGTGATATAGTTTCTATTATTTCGTACAGTTCTCTGTTCGTGATTCTGTAGCGCCATTCCACGTGGTCTGAAGAAGCATGCACCTTGCTATGGTCTACATGCTTTATTCGCTGGAAGCCATTTTAAAACATTAATCTGATAAAACGGTTGTATAAATCAGACAGTTTATATATATCTAAACGATTGCTTCGCTATGGACGTCATTTGAATGAAAGTCTTGATCTGATGAGGTTATTTAAGAACATGACAAAAGGTCTTAGTTTAATTTTTGCGACCAAGTAAATGGTTAAGTAATAACAAAAAACAGGTTTGCAGATCTATCGTATATTAAACACTAAGTACACCAGAAGAGTATTACACGACTAGTAAGAGTGTATCGAATCTATTCACTGTTAATATTTAACAGCCCCCCTCCCCAACGAGGGATGTATGTGGCACAAGGCGCAGTTTACCGTGGGTTTTCCGAGCCCGTAGGCCCGGCCAAAAATATTCCCTTAGAACCCGCATAAGCGTCTGTCTACCTCCCCGGACGAAACTTTGCTCTTCGGCAAAGCCTCGTCCGGGTTCCTCTCTGCTCAAGGCAGAGAGTTCGACAGTAATAAACAATCTATTCACTGTTATATATAACAGCTCCCCTCCAACGAGGGATGTATGTGACACAAGGCCAATCTATCCATTGTTCCTCGAAGCCTTCTCTCCAACTAATCTTAAAGTAGACGGAAGAGTCCAACGTAGACTCTTTAGAGGGAGGACACTACAACATTACTGTTGTTGTTTTTATCAGTCACATGCAATATTGGACGAAACTATCCATACCGCAGCATCTTTTGTGTTCAATTTCCTTATCTCTTGTAGCAAATTCACGCACCGAAATATTTTCAGTGTTGAGTATCAACTAATTCTACATTCTAAATTTTTATTATTGGTCCAATGTAGGTGTTATCACTGCTTTCATTCCAATTCCAGATCATAATTTCTGTTTTGGAAAGGTTTATCCTGGATACTACCTCTTGGAGCCCGTGGTACAAAATGTTGATTGTTTTGTTCAAGATCAAACTATTCCAACTATGTATATCTATGCCATAACCACAGCTCATCCTCATCATCAGTACACTGGCCTCGGAGGGAAAGCAGGTTTGCTTTAATTTAACATCCCGATATAGAAAAATATGGCACCGACCAGAAAAGAAACGACAGATTATATGCCGACAGCTTCAACTTCTCCATCATTTTCTTTATATATCGTGAATACTCACGTCGATTTCTGGAAGTACAGATGCCTAACTGGTCATTTTTTAGAATTAAACTGCTAAACTTGCTGCAGCTTTTTGGGTATGTGTGTACTAGTGAGCCAGTCAAAATGACTTGACTCATTTTATAGTCCACCAACAGAAGGGTTAACCAATCAGAAGACGTAGAATATTCAATCCGTCGTGTATAAAGGCGGCCATTTTTTACTCTATCCGAATGTTCAGTGCCAGCTTGTCAGGCGAAGAGGAACAGAAGGAAGAACTACTGAACTACGCTCTGCTACTTTACCGTGATATCCACTGCTAACCTGAACTACGCTTCCCTACTGTCTTCGAAATATTCACTGCTAACCTCTGGATTCTATACTCGAAGACAACCGTCATCATGAATAAAACTACCCATACATATGATTTGATTAGAGTAGATTGATTTGTTTTTTTATGGATTATCAACCGATTGTAGGTTATTTAAAGCCGAAACATTTTTTTTAGTGAATATTGCATTAACATTATTTTTTTACAATAACAAAGATTTTTCCAGATCCAAGTCCTACAAGTGAGGAGATGAATTCATATTTTTCACAAGCGTATTTTCCTGTAAGTGAAAGTAACAAACCGAACTAAATTACGAACTCGGCTCTCCGATTCTTCTTTAGAGCCACAAATCCACTGCACCAGCCGCACATCCTGATTATAGGGTGTCCTGTGTAAGACGATAAATATGTCCAATAGCAAGGCCTCTAAACAGGATGTTTTGAGGATTAATTGCTGATGTTCTCAGTTCCACCCTGACCTGGGGTGGTAGCACCTGTTAGGGTCACAGTTATGGGTAAATAGTTAACCCCCAAACTGGTATCAAAACACTATGAAAGTGTAAAAATGGGTTTTAATACAAGAAATACTTTGTAAAAAATATTATCAGCAATAATTTTTTATAGAAAAATTATTACCAGCAATACATTATTATCAGCAATAGAATTTTGAAAAAAAAATATTAACAGCTACACATTTTTTGAAAAAAAATTGCAAGCGATACATTTAAAAAATACCATTAATACATTTTGAAAAAAAACAATTATTACCAGCAATAAAAGTTTTGTCGGCATTAAATAACCCATTGAGGTTGATATGCCGTAAAACAAACCAAACCAAACCAAACCAAACCAACCTGATTATAGTGAACAAAGTGCATGGAATCCTCCATAATTTTCAGAGAAATCGTACACGGTGCACCGCAAATTCTTCAAACAGCCCTTCTCAGTTTTTGGCACCATACATGATATCTAAGACACGGTAGAGTTATGGACTGCGGCTCGAATTGAGGAATCGGAGAGCCGAATTCGAATTCAAGTCGAGTTCATTGCATTCACTTAGGTGCTAATACCCTTGAGAAAGGTATGAATACTTCTCCCCTAGCTATGCGCTAAATATCAAGACAGACTAGGTTGCCTCGGGTGGCAACCGGTCTAGAAAGGAAACTCTAAATTCAAACCAACCCAGAAAAGGTTGGGCTTCATTAAGACACGCTTAAGACCCACCAATGCTGCTGGAGCAGCAATGCATATCATGCTCCTAGGACTCTAATAATTTACGGGACTCATTATCGTAACATGATATTCATATAAAATTCTCAATCTGACGAGGCACTTTAAGAACATGACTCGAGTTCTTATGCTAATGTTTATTTATTTTTAACAACTTGAGGTGTTGGGCGAAACTAAACCCAGATCTGTTTAACAATTTTTTACAACGTGAAAAACACGCCTGCAAAAAAGGGCAGTTACAACGGTTAGTTGGAGAAGTTAGTAATGCATCGGGAACAAAGTAACTAAAGAAAAGGTAAGTTTGCACATACAGTAGCGGCCATAATATAAGGAACGGAAACATAAATTTGTAGCTTATTTCCTTTGTTCCATTTAATCTTTATTTAAAAAAAAAAAACTATTATGTAAATTTTTGTAACTTTGTATAATATTTATGCATTACACCCTAATCTTTATTCGGTAAAAATTTAATTGCTAATCATGCATTACTTTTTAAGTAATACACATATTTATGTCTTTGTTGTTTCTGTTCCTTATATTATGGCCGCTACTGTATATTGCCTAAAAGTCATACAACAAAGAAAAAAATTCTTAAATTGCCATACTAGAAAAAAAAAAGTTCTCCCATAAATTTTCAAAAATTCAACCTTAGCGTTGCGACTGCACACGCCACATGTTTGTATCAGTTTTCAATAAAACATTAAAATAAAAAAAGACATATTTCGATTTGCATTATATTTTTTTCGACTCGAATGCTACGTAAATTTTACCAAAAACAAAATAGTTTCCATGCCTGAAGTAGACCGGGGGAACCGTTGAAAAAAATTGCATATTTAAGGAAGACCTAATACAGTTTATAATATTAAAAACCAAGCATCAAATCATTCATCTTTATTGAAAAAAAAAATCTATTATATAAATTTTTGTAACTTTGTATATTTATGCATTACACCCTAATCTTTATTCGGTAAAAATTTCATTGCTAATCATGCATTATTTTTTAAGTAATACACATATGTATGTCTTTTTTGTTTCCGTTCCTTATATTATGGCTGCTACTGTACATGAGCTACCAAAATTTTGGAGATGAAAAATAATGATAACGACAAAGAAAAGAAGTAAATATTTCTCCTAAACCAAAAAAAGTATTAAAAAAAACAAACTAACATGAGAAATAGAGCCAGCTAAAGAAGATCCCTATGAGATATTCCATTTCTTAATTCATGGTTTTCGTTTATCTTTGGTGGATAGCCTCAGCGGGTATCATTCACTCATAAATCACTGGAAGTGAAACATTTTGAATTATATACACGGTGTAATAGCAAAACTGTCCGAATCGTGTAACAGCATAATTATCCATCCCGCAAAATGTTTAAAATCTACAAAAACACTAAACTAACCGAGTTTATTTTTTCCATGTTTTCAGGTAAGGCGTTTAGCCATCTTGACACCATTCCTCGTAAGAGTCACTGAAAAACCCTTTGAGTTATTCACCTAAAAAGAGATCCGGTTAAAAATCGTTTTGTGTCAATCCCACTCTCTTCTCAACTGAAGAATGGTGAGAGGAAAAATCATTCAGGCCTTCAGTAATGGTAACAACATTCATACTGTGGTTTCCATCTTTAAAGTCCATTCAAGTAAAATCAAGAGAACGGTGAATAAGTTTAAAAAAGAAAGAAAAGTAGTGAGGAAAACAGGATCAGGAGGTCACAACAGGAAGAGGGATCATCATTTTTACTTGGAGCTAAAGAGATTAATTAGAAAAGATCCAACTCAATCCATAAGACGTTTGGCACGGGAAAGAGCAGTGAAAAAAGGACTTGGAAATGAAATCGCACATGAAACATTTGAGGCACTTTAACAGAAGTTTAGAGAAGGCAAAGATCATCTTGAAGAAGTTGGAAAATGATCCTGGAATATATATATATATATATATATATATATATATATATATATATATATATAATTATTTATTTGAAAATATGATTCCAAATCGCTACATAAGAGGTCTCATGTTTCAAAACAAGAGCCGAAAACTTCAATATAATCCTTTAAATTAAATTGAGTTTAAATTAAAATGGGCTCTGTTCCATCTTCAAGCGAAATTTTTTTTTTGAATATGCTCTACTTTTGTATGAAGCACTATTTTTAAAAAATAATAACTAAAATACTAAAGGACTTTGGATTATTTACCTAACCAGTTCCTTCCTATTTTCTATATATTTTCACACACATATATATATATATATATATATATATATATATATATATATATATATATATATATATATATATATATCACGATTCTTCTGTTAAGCTTGAATAGTGATTATACATTCTTATTGCTCAAAGAAGAGTTCAATAGTGTTATGAAAACCTCGGAGAATTCCAGTAAAATCATTTCTAAATTACCCACGGTTCAAAGCTTAATCTAAGAAATGGCCAGATTTGCTTTTACACGATTTGGACAATTTTGCTGTTACACCCGGTATACATGATGTGTTTTTATAGTGGTCAATATCAAAGAAAAAAATATTTAAGAATACAACATATTGATTGGCAGTTCCACGTCTCAAGCGATATCCATGGGATGAGCCTAAAACTAAAACTATAGCTCTCCTCTCTCTCTCTCTCTCTCTCTCTCTCTCTCTGTATATATACATATATATATATATATATATATATATATATATATATATATATATATATATATATATATGCTCCCGGAAATCAGGTTGAGCTCTCTAGGAAAGGGGTTCCAAAACAGCAGCTATATATATATATATATATATATATATATATATATATATATATATATATATATAAAAACGTTATATCTAATGAAAGTAATGTCTACCGGTGTAAGGATCAAAAAGTCCTACAAAAGAAAATATGCCTCCTGTCAGGAATGGAATCTGCATTCTGTTTTTAATATGAGAATCTACATTCAAGCCAAGCGTGCTTTACAGTTAATCAGCAGGTAGCCATCACAGCAAAACATGTGTCGTAAGACACATTTTCTGTTTTAAGACTTTTAACCTGAAAACAGGCAAATATTAATTACACAGTAGACAGGCAGATATTAATTACTCTTTAAAAACACCAGTTATGTCTGCTCCAACAAGTGTACCCACTAAATAAAACGCTTCTACTAAAAAGAAATAATGTGGAATTAGTGAAATTAAAAGAAATCCATTATTGGATTATATATATATATATATATATATATATATATATATATATATATATATATATATATATATATATATATATATATATATAGCTGCAAGAACATTCAGACGATGACTATTTCTCACAAAATGCTTCTAGACAGCTTGTATTTTCTCTGAATATTTATTTAACTCGTATTTTATAATTTTAGTAGCTAGCTACAGGCCGTGTTAATTTTATTGCTTACTACGCAATATTTAATGAATCAGTGTGAAATTGTTTAATGACTTCGTCTGTAAACGTTACACACTCTTGGAGGGATAATGACATTTTCAAAAATTATAGACAGTATATTTATTTTTACGTTGTCGATTAAATAGAAAATAACACTACGAAATTGAATTTATTATTCGGGTATATTCAAAAACGTTCTATACATAAATATTTTAAAAATGCTTTTCTTTTTTTTTTTTTTTTTTTATACGGTACAGTAATGAATAGCGGCTCGGACTGAGGAATCGGTTAGCCGAGTTCGAATTCCAGTCGAATCACTTACGTGCTCATCCCCTTGGGAAAAGTGTGAATCCTCTTCTTCTCCCCCTAGCTATGGGGAAATAGCAGGACAGACTTAGATGGCAATTGTTCTACCGCAGAAAGAAATGGCAACCTACTGCGGGAAAAAAATCTGCCTCGTCAGTCATGTATCGAAAGATACATGATCGCCTACGCGTTTATCACACATGGCGCATAACTGACTGACTGATGCATTATTTTAATATAATCCTCATTTTGTTGTTTCTAACACTGTTTCGACCGACATATTCTTTAGCCTTCCTGTATTGTCTGGAATGAAAAGAGGATTGGAAATGTGACACCGAAATACGAACGCGCATTCGATTAGCGAAAGATGCCTTCTAAAAGCTAAACAAAGTACTGAGAAAAAGGAAAATGTGCTGAATTGCTATGTGATATTAATCCTTTTTTTATGGCAGTGAATACTTACAGAAATACTCTGCACAGAAATGTGGTTCTACAGAAGGATTCTGAGATTTCTATGGAAGGATCAAGTTAGAAACGTTGAAGTCTTAACGAAATTGCTAACAAAAATAAACATATACATAGAAACATAAAGAGCCAGGTAAAAGGAGGGCTTAGAAAACTTAAATCTAACTAGAAAAATATTGAGGGTAAGAGTGACAAAGGAAACCAGCAGGGGTCACTTACCTGACCAATGAAATTGATGAGGTAACCGGGGACGAGAACCTTGGCAATGAGAGAAATATTGCTAAGGGCCACAAGGAATGGGAAGTTGTTAAAAAACCACATCCTAAAAGGACACGGCACATAGAAGAAGAAGAAGAAGAAGAAGAAGAAAAAAAAACAGCCTGGTGTTCTATATTTCTCCGTTTTTTTGTTTGTTTCTTTTTTTTTTCCTCTTGGTAATTCAGTCCGGTGCGTTGCAGCTTCTGGGTATGTTGACAAACCATCCCCTTTTTCTGTCAAAAATGGAATGCATCTTTGCTAAGTTGATGATATACCAGCGTGAAGCAACGGATCTAGTGTTATCGTAAATGCACTGGTGCGTGGTGACCCAGGTTTCATTGCAGAAGAATTTACTTATTACATATATACCATATCGTCTATTTATAGTTCGGTGTATGGATCAGATATAATAAATCTACTGTCGCAGAAAATGGAAACAGAACTAAGAACTGGACGCGAGAGAGATAGTTTCGCCCAACACAACAAATTGCTATAAAATCAAAATATTAATCTGCGAATCATGAGTTATATTCTTAAACTGACACGTCAGATCAAGAATTTCATATGCCATGCTTAACGCCAAACCCGTTCAGAAATATTTAAACTGTCACCTATATACAAATGCGTCTTAAGGTCAATGGTTAAAATGCTTTGAGAATGTGAAGATTATTGGTCTTGGTGCAAGACCGCACTTCTGACGCTACAGAATCAAAAACAAAGAACTGCACCAAATAAGAGACACTGCATCAGTTCAGGACTTTCAACAGCAGCAACAACTAAAACAGACAGCACATATAACTCAGACGTAACAGAAAATAATGATATAATCAAGATGTTGATATTCCACACAATATCAAACAAAAGGTAAGGAAAGAAGCCCCCCATTGATATTAGAAAGAGTTATAATAGTTAATGGACTTCAAAAACAACGCGTCTTCCTGAAAGAATTTTTAATAGCACAAATTAACCTTCTCATTTAAGATAATGAAAAACAGATTATAAAATCCCACATCCACAAAAGAAAAACATTGACAATTTTCCTTTAGATACTGAATAGTCTTGGTGTAGGCTTTTGCAAAAAGATAAAAGGTGAATTACATGTATGAGGTTGGGAGTGAAAAGTTCATAAGCTGGCTATTAAGGAGCGATGCTAGAGCTGTGAAATAGTCCATTTTCTAAAATCATTACACCCCAAGCAGGGCGGGAGTGTCACTAGTACGCTGTGGGATAAAAACTGCGTGTAGGGGGATTGATGAAAGAAGAAAAGATGAACGGATTTCGAGACGATTGAAGATGGCGACTGACGTTGCATTTAAACTTTTGAAGATTGTGGTTATCAGGGAAGCGGGTAAACGGAAGGGAGTTCCCCTGTCGTGAAGAGTGCGAGAAAGGAAACTCTTAGAAGATTGGCAGTTACATTTAATTATTTCAACAGTAAAAGGGTGGGACCTAGATGCCATTCTGGTAGTAGGCTTAAGTTCATGTAGTCGGGGTACCAGGGGAAAAAAGCTCGTCAGAGCAGTTGTCATGAAAATATTTATAGAAAAGACAGTGGGAAGACACTTCACGTCGGTGAGAAAGTGACTGAAATCGAGATGCTAAGTCAGGATCGATTACATTGCAGATCATTCTTTAGATTTTGTCAAGAACCTCGCGATGAATAGCAAGAGCACCAGACCAGTTATAGCAACACTATTCAATGCACGGCCAAATGGTAGATTTGTAAATGTGCAAGATGGACTCTGACAAGAAAACATTCTGATACAATACAGTCAACCAAAGTTCATTGCATGCATTAATTTCAGCTCTTATTAATAATTGCATTGTTTCTTTTCAGAAAGAAAATAAAAATCAAAGAGAATCTATATTTAAAAACAATTACGGTTCTTATCAACCGAATAAATATTCAAATAGTTTGTTTGTCATTTGTCGAAAATCTCTGAGTCTTGGTTTGGAAGTAATACTATTAATGCTAGTAGTAGTAGTTGTAGTATTATAAACAAACCAGAATGCCCTTCCTATTTCTAAACAGTCGGAAGGAAAGGAGGAAGCATGCCTTTGGTTATATGTTTTATATATCCTTTTTTTCTTTCTTCTCGCCATCAAATTGGGAAAAAACAGACGATTTTGAAAACTGGTTGCAGATTAATTTTAAACACCATTTTTTAAATAAAAATGAACTATTTTTTATTTTTTGATATTTTAACTACATATGACGTGTTTGGCGCATTCAACATTTGATAATTTTGCGGCAATACACGCTTAAATGTTTTACGCAATTTTGATCAACATTTCTTTTCGTGGTTAGCCGTAAGGAATCGTAAATGTAGGATGACCTTGCACTTAAGTAAAATAATAATAAAAATAATAATAATAATAATAATATTTCTTAAGAATTTATTACAGGAAATATCAAGTTTGACGGAAACTTTTCTAAGTTGAACAAACTTGTGCTATTTTGTTTACGCTTTATTACCTCTCTTTTCCATTGGCCTTTTTTTAGATCGCTTTCTTCCAGTCATTTTGATGGGCAATGGCGAAATTCGGAAATTTAGAAATAAAATAAAGGCGGTAAGAAGGAATATTTTAAATTCATATACGACCAAAAATAAAATGACAAAAAATGTTAACAACAAATACATTTTCACACCCAACCCATTTCTGCGGAATCAGAATCAACTTTGGGTTTAAGCAAGCGAATGAGCCAATTGGAGTAAAGTGCCATGCAGATTTAAATTTTTCCCACTTGTGACGAATGCAGCTATCGGTTTTTTGGGGTTTTTTTTGCATGCTAGCATGCTAGTTAACATTCGTGTCAGTCAGCTGTTGGCTCTCACGCTGTCCAATAGAATCTTCCTGCCTATTCGTGGCAGCCACTTATAGGCTCTCACTCTGACCAGTACAAAATGGCCGCAAACTACATGAAAACTGCCGTAGAAGCATGAAAAAATTGATTATTTCCACTATCGATGGGAAATGCAAAGCCGGTCTAACTTGGAGCATGTGCATGTGAATTCTGCTGCAAATCTGTCGAAAATTGCGGCCGTGCATTCGTTACACACACACACACACATCCTGTTTTTTATAGATAGAGATACTGAGAATACTATTGACAGAATATTTGACCAATACGATTTTTTTTTTAAGAAAATGCGACCCAAAAGGACGCATACAACCAAAAGGAGACAGTTTAACTTTCAGGGACATATAATGAGGAAGACGGGCATATTGACATATTGAAATCTGGGGGTTATGTAGAGAAAATAAGATACACAAAGATCTTGTCTTAATGGACAGCATATGTTAAATAGCATAGCACACAGGGCAAGGGAAAATTGGTTGGTAACCAGTCTAGTAAAAGTAGGAGAAGGTAACGTGAAATACACTGATGAAAAATTTAAGACCACTTGAAATTTTTATCAAAAAGAGTGTTTTTCATGGAAAATTTTTAAACATTTCTTACTTAAGGTTACTAATTTTATAATTTAAAAGGTTATGTAGACAAAAAGTTGTAATCCGAGCATTTTATTGAGAATTTGACATTTTATAAAATTATATATATATATATATATATATATATATATATATATATATATATATATATATATATATATATATATAATGTAATATCCAGACAATATTTATATATCTATCTATCTATCTATCTATTTGTTTGTCTGATTGTTCTTTCTTTATTTCCCACATCTATCTATCTATCTATCTATCTATCTATCTATTTAGCAGTATATGTGTGGCTATTGACGTTCTTTCTTTCCGGGAAGATTATCTATCTATCTATCTATCTATCTATCTATCTATATATATATATATATATATATATATATATATATCGAGATAAGTTTTTCTTTTGATAAGTTTTTATTTATCTATCTATCTATCTATCTATCTATCTATCTATCTATCTATCTATCTCGTTTCCTTTAATGCCTTCCTATCTGTTGAGATTTCTTTCTTTCTTTCTTTCTTTCTTTCTTTCTTTGGAAGTCTATCTATCTATCTATCTATCTTATAGCAAGTGATTTTGTTAATATTTCTATTTTGCTTATATCAATCGATTTATTTTAATATAAAATATATATGCATCTCAATCATTTCATTTTCATTCTTTTTGTAGGTCACAAAACATGGACGTATCCACAGTCAAACTATTCATATTTTTATTCTTCATCTTTAGTTTAGCAGGTAAGTACAAACAATTTTTGCATTTGATCCTCTCGATGTAAACCTTAAAAACCAATGAGGATTTTTACCTGTTTATGTAGAGTTCGCGAAACCACGTGAATCCGTTACTGCATGTATTATTCACATTTGGGACTTCATTTTTTCTTCAACCTTTTTAAATCCATTTCTGAATGCTCCACCCACCTTAAAATGCCAGACAAATGGCCGACTCTAAACGTTTTCTTCAAGACAAAACCATGAAGATGATTCTCTCCATGGGATAATGATAATTTATTTCGGAAAGTAAGGCAACATTTGAAACTATTAAACAGATAACGAAAACACCTGAAAATTGTTGGAAAATTAACCGTTTTAAATGTGCTACAAACAATAATGGTCAAGATAGTCGTTCAAATAATCAATGGGAAAAGTACCACCTCCTTTTACATTTATATCACTCACCTCATTCAGTAACAGTCCTACTCGAGTGGCTCTCGAGCTTTGCATTGTTGAATATTAATGACCTCCTAGTTATTTTTACTTTCACAACGTTTCGGCTGTTGTGCTCTCCAGGTATCTTCAGGCGTCAGTCGATCCGGGTAACCTTCAAGGAATTGAATTTACTGTGGGTATATATTTCTTGTTCCACGCTCCATATCTAGGTTTTTTTAGTCTTCTTTAATTGTTCGTTTATTGCGTGTCCTGCTCCCGCTGAAGCTGAGTATATCCGTACGACTCGAATCAGGGACTGAACAGTAGAAGTTTATCCCCTGTTTAGGAATGACTAGACTTTAGAAAGAATCAGAAACCCAACTCTAAACAGGAAACAAGGGATAAACCACTACTCTTTTTCTCCTGCCCTGTCTTTTGAATTTCTAACGTCTCCGCCTAAAATCTGTAATTTTATGTACTATTCTTTTTATTTTATTTTTCTTCAACAGGAGTAGATAGGTTCGCATATCGTCCGGTTCACACTCCTCTCCAGTTTTTGAACAGGAGTAGATATTTATCTTTTGTTTACTGTTTAGGATTTTGGTTTTCGGTTCCTTTTAAAATCATCTCTTTCTATTTCACTTCCAATATAGTCCCTTGTATCTTCGTGGTATTATCGCCTTGCTTGGGGTGACTTGATTAAAATGAAATACAACAAATTCACTAAGCAACAGCCTAACAATACTGACAGCAAAGAAAATTGTCGAGAGGATTCTTTAATCCGCTCGGGTTTGTTTTTTTTTACTGTTATTTCGTATATACAGTTACGATGAGAAAGATTTCTTTGATTGATTGAGTCATTTTTTACGGTTTATCAACCCACGATAACAAAAAGAAAGAAATAATTCGAAGAATGTTGGTTTCGTAACCTGTTTTTTTTTTAAGTGAGGAGAGACTATTTAGAAACTATTATTCAAAATTATGATTTTTCTTGCACTCGAACACTGGCATCTGGCATTTGTGTGTAATATGTTGTCCCACTCTTGACGTACAGCGCACGTCTACTCTTTCGTGCGGTACTGACGAATCTGGTTGGCAATTTAATTATTTCTAATCTCCTTATAATTCCAGATTCCCGTTTATTTTTTCCACTTTTCCAAACTACCTGTTTATTCCAGTCTAATATTCTTTCTTTTTCTGTTCTGAAAACAGACGAAATTCAACGGATTTTCCAACCTAACTTTCTATTCAAGCGTGCCCTTTCTATTCTGGACCATATATTTGAATATCCATGTTGATGTGACAACGGTTTAGGGTTGCATCTCCAAAACCCTCGATGATCAGAGCTTGGTAGCTGATCTCTCTTCGAACCTAACTCTAGCAGCTCAACAGGAAAAAATGGCTGGTCGCATGAAACACCTCAAAGATCAAACTAGTGACCTTCCACTATCATTGATCGAACCCAGAACTTTTACCACTCGTGATGAACGGATATTCCCTCGGGGAGATTTCGTGCATTGAGCGGCTGTTTGGACTTAAACTCAACTCAGACCTCAAGTGGAACTCGTATTACGAACCCATGGCTAAAGATGCTTCCCTGTACCGCTCCAGGAAGTTCCTCACTCTTCTTACTATCCTATACCTTTACAAGAATCAGATCAAGCCGGAAATGGAATATTACTTCCATATATGGGCGGGAGCTGCCCAGTCTTCACTTTCCGCTCTCGATACAGTCCAAAAGCGTCTCCGCATACTTGTAGGCGACGAATTAGATTCCACTTTTCAACGCTTTTCTCATAAACCAGACATCGCATGCCTCTTACTCCTCAATCGCTATTTCCATGGTGAGGGTTCAGATGAAGTACACGCCTTATTTCCACCGGTCCTAATCTTCACGTCTATGACCCAACATGCCACGAACATTGTAACGAACCACGCTTTATATTTCCTTGTGGGATGTAAGTTCCACTCAAGCGTATACTTCACTCGAACCGCTGTCTTGTTGAACCGACTCCCAAGAAGGCTGCTTCTCCGATCACTACAATCTTAACCTGTCTATGGTAAACCATTATCTTCCGCATATAACCGCATAAGCTGTACTGATTACTCTACAACCATCTACCTCAAGTGACCCCAACGCTTTTTACAGAGTAAACATCACTGTAAAAAAAATGTCTTTTAAATGTTCCCCGTTGGTTTAGAATCTCTGAATTGACAAAAATTGTTCAATCGTCATTCCAGTTGATTTTCTCTTGTCTGGCTCACCGCCAAAGCCAAACGTTAGGCGTTTTCGAAATCTAATCTCGCTAATACTGTCTTTCTCGCACACCTAGCACTACTCTTTCTCCAGAAACCGATATTATTGCATCTAACTTGGTTAAGATATTTGGCACCAGAAGGATTTCTGCCAACATAGACATGGTTTACGCCCTTTAAAATAAATACTGGCATCTTGTGATGGTTAAGTTGAAAATTTAGTTTCCTTGTAAAATGACCTAATGAGCCTTTTTGGAAAACGCGTGTGCATAAAAAGAGTTTATCATCAGAAGGATTCCGTGTTTTTCTCATGGGGTACCCTGGACTTATTTCAAAGAATTTCCGAGAATAATCTCTGCTGAAGCTATTATCTAGACGAAACACTGTTAAAGTATTAGACGCGCCAGTTGAGTAAGGGACAAACACATTAATTTTACACTTCAAAATACATAGATAAATCAAATTTTTAATCTCCATTCGCCGTGGAACAACATTTGACATGGAACTACTTAAATAGCGCTGTCCACTCTTTATAAATTGTCAAAATGTTTTTTTTAGTAATTTTCCAGATTAGAATTCTATAGATCTTTCTTAAGTAGTGATGCTTGTCATAATTTTAAAAAAAGTATTAATTTTTATGGATTTCGAAAAGGGTTCCTTCTCATAATATTGATAAGTTGTAATGTCGATCTCTGACCTTTACAGAATTGTCTAGACGTATTGTTTTATTTACAAATGTTGTGCATTCAAAATATGCTTACGTAACTGTTATCTGCATATTTTAAAAACATTTGTTGATATATGTACAGTTTTATTTATTAATTAAATAGGTATATATGTTTTTTTTAATAAAAATAATCATGTTTTGTAAAAAAAATGTAAAGAAAGAAAAACCTTCATAAGAAAACAATTTGCTATTTAAAATGTGTAAATCCGTTTGCTCTTTAGTTAATAATGTATATCACTTTTTATTCATTTAAAGACAAAAGAAGTTTTTGTAAGAAAATGAAAGTAAATCTGTTTCGCCAAATAGCTTGTTTAAACCAGTACTGCTCCAAGCGGTGGTCCGCGGACCGGTGCCGGTACGCGAACCATCTGCTACCGGTACGCGGCCAGTGCCCAGGCAATGCTAAAGAATCATTTGAAGCTTATTTTTTTTATTACTTTTTTGTTTTGATATTGAATTATTTTTTACCAAATAAATGGAAGATAAAAAATACTTAACTATTCATTACATTATCGTTTCAGGTATAAGTTAATATTACCGCGAAATATTACAGGCACATGACACGTTGAGAAAAAAAAATCCCGGTCCGCCATATAATATATTTTGAGAAGCACTGGTTTAAACGATTTCATTAAAATAAAACACACACACACACACATACACACAAACACATACACACATATATATATATATATAGAGAGAGAGAGAGTGAGTGTGTGTGCGCTTCCGGCTATACTTACAGCCATTATCAAAGATGAAGTTTATTTTTAATTTTAACTGAATAACTCTAGATACATACATAAAAAAATCATACATTCAGTTAAAATTCAAAATAAAATTCATCATTGATAATGGATAAATTCTAGCTGAAAGGGGCTCTATAAATCTCTCTCTCTCTCTCTCTCTCTCTCTCTCCTATATATATATATATATATATATATATATATATATATATATATATATATGATGAAATTGATTTATTCCGACAAATATTTTAATATATTTTCTGTTTATACGTGTGTGTTTGTTCTTTGTATTTTAGTAAAATAAAATCTCTTTTCGTATGCATATATGAATGACGCAAGCACAGTTTCAAATTTGACATTTGAAAGCAAACAATTAGTTCCGATAACTCTGTAAAAATCAGGAATCTATTTTACCCTATATCTATATTATGAACAGGACCTCACATCAAACATGATAACAAATGCGTAATCTAAGATGGCGTTGGAAACCCAGCCCCTTGAACTGAGACTTGGAACAAAAAATCTCGAAAGCTATTACTAGGCTCATGGATCCAGTCCTTACTGAATGCCCACATTCGTGCTGAACCTGAGTAGTCCGATGGTAGTCCGAAAAATAATGTGAAAATAAGACACGAGAAGGCGAAAAGAAAACATATGATTTAGAATTAAAAATTGAATTTTTATTCCATGCAACATTATTTATGACTGTTTAAAAGCAATTTAAAACTAAATTTCGAATAATGATAATTTTGCTGCTTCGAAGATCGTGTTGCGCCAATATTTCCCCTCGCCTTCTCGATTTAATCTTGTGCTGTACTGACTTAAGCCTAACATAATTTCTTATTTGCGATAATATCGTT